ATAGGAGACAATATCAATGGGACGTGAACTGCACATGTGTCAACTACATCAATGGTCATTTCGGCATAAACGTCATCATCCCTCCTTAACTCATTGAGCATTTGTGTAGATAATATAGGTGAATCATCGCTAGATGATGAGCTATTGGAATCCGAGTCATAACTAGGTGTTGTCATTATGGTCAAAATTAACCTGCTTACAAAAAGTATATATTATTGTAAATAAATCATCAACAGACTAAATCAAAATCAAAATAATAAACGAAGACCAGATATTTGCTATACAAGACCGGACAATACTTAATCAAATCGCACCAGACCAGACCAAACTAAAACAAATCAATCGAATTAAAAAACATCCTTATTAAAAAATTCACGATTTCATATGTTTAATTACAATAAGAATTACCGTAACATTTATAAAACATTTAACCATAAGTATGTTTTTCCAACATTAACCATATGTATGTAATTACTTTTTCTATGTACAAGAAAATTAACTAATTTGTTAAAATATTTTAACCTCAAGCACTTGCCTGGAAAAGTTCTTCACGGATGTATGTGATCTCCCCATTAAAAACAATAGATTGACAAATTATGTACTCAATTGATGAATTTGTTAACAAAACAAAAGAAAAATCAAGATGAAATTGCTTACTGAAACAAGGCATAAACGATGAAATTGTTGGCAATAGGGTAGAGCTCGATCAATGAAGTCTTGATTGGATTTCGAATTAGGGAAAAATCAGATCATATTTAATTTACTATTTATTAATTTGACTTTGAAATGTTCCACTTGTGCAATCTATTGCAACGTGGAGAGCATTTCGGTGCTTGATTAGTTTCCCATTGGAGAGCATTTCGTTGCTGTATCAATATGTTGAAAGGTGGGTTTTGACATTGTTCCTACATGGATGAACACTCCAATAATGTATTGCCATGTGTCACAATTTTTTTAATGTTGACACCCTCCCATTAAAGATGCTCTTAGTATGGTTTGAAATCTTAGGACTTGGGAGAATGGAATTGGAGTTTGCTAGGTCTTTCAATTTCTAATTCTTGTTATTTATAATAATACTCCCTCCGGTCCTTTGACTTCACACATATTAAGGAAATAAATTTGACTTTACTGTAAAGTACACTGTTTGACATTGTTTGGCATTGTTTGGCACTGTATGACACTGTTTTGCACTGTTTGGTATAGATTTGTTTGCCAAATAAGGTAAATAAGAAAGTGTAAAGTTTAATATGAGACGATCCAAAATGGAAATTGTAAAGTTAATAAATTTGACTTTACTGTAAAGTACACTGTTTGACATTGTTTGGCACTGTATGACACTGTTTTGCACTGTTTGGTATAGATTTGTTTGCCAAATAAGGTAAATAAGAAAGTGTAAAGTTTAATATGAGACGATCCAAAATGAAAATACATAGTGACCATTTACCAAATGAGCCATTATTTGGCAAGTAATGGTTCCTGACTTGCTGTTAATCATGTTTTCTTGTTTAAACACAACTTGTTTTTGAGGCCCTCTAGGCATTTGCCTTATAGCCGGCTCTGGACTGTTTCATTGTATATGGAGTAACAGATTGTCAGATTGTCTTTTCTACTACGTATTTGAATAAAATATTTCCAATGCATCGCATGATTGAATTACTAGTAATATGAATTAGAAAATACAAAAACTGGTTTTAAGCACTAAAAATTACTTGTAATGCTTGTTTAAGGGAGCACCAAATAACTATTCTCCAAAAACAAGTTGTGTTTAAACAAGAAAACATGATTAACAGCAAGTCAGGAACCATTACTTGCCAAATAATGGCTCATTTGGTAAATTCACTAGGTTGAAACGGTTGAAGTTTATTGAAATTACTCCAAATTTGGGAATATGGTTTTCAGCTATAGTAGAACATGTTCTTGATCCCGTTCTGGTGGTTCTAAACCTTCATTCCAGTTTCACATCAGTTCCGATTACTATTCCAATGTTTGCCCATTTTAAGAACAAAATCCGATTTAATTTAGCCCAATTCATGTCTCTAATAGTAATAAATAACCGAAGACCAACACAGGCCCTAGTAGGGGTGGACCTGGTTGGCGGTCCCATAGCAAACCAGAACCGGGCTTGGACTGGTTACCTGACCGGGCGAGGGCAATCTTGGGCTCGGGTATTGGCTTTGGGGACCGATCCGGGCAGTCCCGGTTCCAGTCTCAACGGTCAAAGTTTTTTTTTTAAATTAGGGTGGGGGAGCTGAGGGGCTGGGGGAACTACCAGTTCCAAACGGCTAGTAACGAACATATAGCCGCTGGGAGGGGGTTGGAGGTGCCAATTTTTTCTCTCTATAAATACCTAACTATTTAATTCATTTTTTCCTACAATTCTTCTTCTAATGAATCTCTGTACTCTCAAATTCTCAATCTCTAATCCTACATTATTGATAATTATATACATATTTATTTATGATCTCTAATCCTACCTAATTAATATACATATTTTTTTAATGTGTAAATTTATTTTTAATTCATTTTTAATTAAAAAAATTAAAACATATCCGAAGCAGTCGGGGATCAGCTGGGTCGACCGGACCGGAACCAGCTAGGTACCGTACGTCCGTACTACCTCGGGTCGCTTCCGGTCTCAATATTGGCCTATTGGGGAACCAGGACCAGCCGGTCTACCACCAGACCGGGTCCACCCCTAGGCGCCTACCGCCTAGGTGAGTCATGTACTTATGTTGCATATTCTGTCTATTTGCAAATTAGGCCAAAAATCATTGTGACTAGTGCCGAACCTAAAAACGTCAAAAAAAAAAGATGCACTAGAGAAGCTTTTAAAATTTTCTAAACTTCAAAAAGAATAAATGGTATTGCCCTAAATAGGAGTTAAACAATGATATTATTCCAAAATAGGAGTTCCTATTAATTTATTCCCAGAATAGAAGTTTTTAGTTGACCGGTCCATTTGTTTTACCGGTTATACCCCTCTTTGTTAGACTATCTTTTTCTGTCAGGCTTTTCCCACATTTCACACCTTTTTCTCACGCAACCTTCTTCTCATCCCCTTTTTCATCCCCCGTTTCCTCCCATCTTTATCTCATCCATTCGAGACTTCTCCGCCGATCAACTACTTCTGCAGCAGACTATAACAAGTATGAATGGTGAATGTTTATCCCCAACTCCAGCCACCGACGGGCAGCGGCGAGTCCGGCGACCACCATCAGTGAGTTTTTATCTTTCTCTTCTCCTTCTCTTCTCCTTCTCTTCCTCCTCTTCTTTGTTCTTCTTCTTCTTCTTCTTTTCCCTTCTTTTAATTCACTCGATGGCAACATCTTATGTTGTTTGCTGCGTGAAGTTACAACCAATTTTTTAATTTGATGTTTGCTTCATTTTCCTCTCTTTCCAGATCTCCTTTATCGTTTTTCTTGATTTTTATGTTTTCTCTTTCAATTTTCTTGCAATAATTTTACTAAAATTATTTCAGACTTTGATTTTGATGTTTTCTCTCAACATTTTATTAAAATTCTACTCCGTACAATACTGATTACAATTTTTGACATTTGATTTCGATCAACTTTTATAACTTTTCAGACTATTTTATTTATTTGAATCTAAAATTTTCATAATCTCTTTTAAAGGTTTTTTATTTGAAGATAAAATTTTCGTAATCTCTATTTTAAGCTAATGCTTATAGTATTAAGATAAAAATAAAAATATTACTCTGCATACAATGCCAATAATGACATTTTTTCCCATTTGAAAATATTATTTTGCCACATATTGCCATTTTTTTACATTAATTCCATCAGGATGGTAATTAAATACAAGTCATAATGTCATGTTTTTCATATGAAAATTTTGATTTTTGCATATAATGCCATGTGTAAGATGGCAATAACATTCATATCTCAGTTTAAATACAAATGTCATTAACATACATTCAAATGACCAAATTATATTATAGATTGGCGGTAGTGGACCCAAAAGTGGTGGTGCGGATCTGGCGACAGCCAGCGGTGCTATACAAGACTGCGGCGGTGACTGACGGCGGAGGCAGAGGTGACAATGGTGGCACCACCGCCGACGTCAGGTTGTGGAAGAGGCAGCTCCGGCAATGACATGAATGGCAGAGACATGTAGGAGTGGACTCGGGCCGGGCCAACCGGCCCGAAACCGGACCGGCCCGCTATTGTACGTGTCCGGACCGGCCCAGAACCGGCCCGGCCCGCTACTGTGTGGGCCCAGACCGGCCCGGTGAACCGGTTGGTTGACCGGTTCGGGCCACCCGGCCCGGTAGGATGGCGGTTCGGGCTCGGGCCCTTCAAAAGGTGAACCGGCCCGGCCGGTTCAGGCCCGGGCCGCGCCAATTTATTAGTTTTTTTTTTTGTTTTTTTTAAGTTTTTTTGTTGGACTGGGTATTTTAGGCCATTTGAGGTGGTTAGGGTTAGTTTGAGGGTGAGGGTTGGGGGTTATCTAGGAAAAGCCAAAAAAAAAAATTAGAACCGAGACCCGGCCCGGACCGGACCGGGGTTACCCGGGCCGGTTCCGGGCCTCCCCTTCATGAACCGAGGCCCGGCCGAGCCCAGGCCCGAACTGGGCCCCAACCAGAACCAATCCACCCCTAGAGACTGGTGGATGACCACTGACGACGGCGACGGATGAAGCAGCGACAGGGGTGGCGGATGATGGGGTGGCCTAGGGTTGTGTCGTTGGTTGTCTGGTTGTACATTTTGTTTTCTACATTTTGATTTAATAAATTATTAATAAACATATGAGCTTGAGATTTCATCAAGGCATTTATGTCAGCTGACCTCCTTTTTACTCCTACTAAATCGGACGGGAAGCCCAACTCCTGTTTGTGCATAATTTTTATTTTTTAGTCCCATATAGGTAATTATCTCAAAGAATAACTATTTGTAAAACAAATAAGAGAGATGCGCTTTTTGACCCCTCACTTTCTTTGGCACGGCTACCAAACACATCATACACAGACAACTTCAGCATCATATGCATATTAGTATATGTTATTAGGACGTAGATAGTGCCATTCAGCTAATACAGCACAGAGTTAGATGATCTTAGACTAACGAAGTAAATAAGAATAGCACAGGAAAAGCAGAGTAATAAAGCAAAAAACTTAGTGGCCTCATTCATAGTCAAAATATATTGAAATAACAAGCCGTTCCACAATATCCTACCAAGAAGTCTTAGTTGGGAAAACTAGACCACAACAAGAGCAGAAATCTGAGTGTAGACAGGGGCTGCATAAGATGAACCATCTAGCAGTAACCTGCATGGATAGAATAGGAGTACCCTACATTAATCAAACAAATAGCACAATGTTAAACATGCAATGTTCATGTTAAGCACAGACTTGCACAAAAAAACAGAAAAGGAGTACCCTCTATTTGGGATTTCGGAGGACAATGATCACAGAATCTCCACGAAGAAACATCTTGCTAATGAACCTATCCTTATTAACAGGTTGGGCTTTCTTTTTCCCTTTGCCAGTTTTGGGAACCTGCAGAGAAAATGAATACGTAAAAAAAGAGAGTAAAACAACACAAAGGAAAAACATGTAAAATCAGTATAGAATAAGATACCACCTCAGTCCACATCTCTCTAACATTTTCGAGCACCATGTTGCAATGGCGATCAAAAGCCCTCACACGACCTAGAAGCTTTCTGTTATTACGACAGTTGATGAGCACCTAAATTCCATAAAAAATCAAAATCATTTCACAGTTCTAGAAAAAAATGTTTAGGTTAAACTATTTCGGATGGCTTGGTTTTATTTGGCTATAGGCTTGAAAAAAATATTTCAATCATCATTTAAGTTGGATAATACCTGTGTATTGTTTCTGACACTCATCATGAGAACAGACAGTGGCCCTGTGTTGAATTCCTCTTCCTCATTCTTCCCCTGTTAAACACATTTGCATAGAGAAAGATGCACAAAACTTAAAAAGGAAAAATGATTTTTCATCTTTATATGAAACAAGTAAGGAACATACACATGTAACACTAAAATAAATTAAGTAGACAGACAAATGGTTTATTTGGTGGTTATGCACCAATGGCGTCATACCCAGGAACATTACAGAGTATTACATTAAAAAAATAAAAAGCAAGTGTATTGTCGCATGACTTCAAGACATACGTGTAGAGGATATGCAAGTTTTCGCATGCATGAAATTTGATTAACATGTATATATGGCGCTTTCCAATGGCAATGTGATCTTTTATTTGTTTGATTGAAAGATTCTATTTATCTAGATTGACTAATCGCTCCAAAGCCTTACACTCCAAACATAACATAAAAAAGACACTAAGTGATGCTTAGGAGCAAGTTTAGAACAACTAATTACTACGTAGTATTTTTATAACAAAATGAAATTTTCGCACCAGGATCTTCTAAATGCAGAGCAACCTATGATTTCCTTCATAAACACATAAGATAGCAAGGTCATGAATGAAGAGAATATGCAAGTTTTCGCATGCATGAAATTTGATTAACATGTATATATGGCGCTTTCCAATGGCAATGTGATCTTTTATTTGTTTGATTGAAAGATTCTATTTATCTAGATTGACTAATCGCTCCAAAGCCTTACACTCCAAACATAACATAAAAAAGACACTTAGTGATGCTTAGGAGCAAGTTTAGAACAACTAATTACTACGTAGTATTTTTTATAACAAAATGAAATTTTCGCACCAGGATCTTCTAAATGCAGAGCAACCTATGATTTCCTTCATAAACACATAAGATAGCAAGGTCATGAATGAAGAGAATATTAAAGGAAACATTTATAGATTATGCACAACTGACGAGAAGGAAAAGAAGTTGCTAAACATAAAAGACAAAACTGGTGAGGGATTTGGATAACTTACAGGGGCACCTTCTTCCATTGCTCAACTGTTTCATTGCAAAAAAAAGTACATGAATTAGCAACACTCTTTGTATCTTATAAAAAAGCTTTTAAGAAAATAATAAACAGTTTACTAGGCCTGGGATCGGTTTGATACTTCAACTCTGGTTAAGATTTAATAAAACCTTTTTAAAAACATAGTTGTTAAACTCGGTCCACTTCTAGTCTAGTTAAAAAAAGTAGAACTGTTTTAGAACCGCAAAAGTATAAACTGTTTGGTTCTTACCTTCTTTTGTTTCTTAACAAGTAATGATATTGCGCTAAATAGCAGTAAAAACGATTTTGAATTCCAAAAACGTTATGGCCATTCCTTACTTCCAATGTTCAAATATCATACAAACATCCAACTGATCCAAGTGAAAACATTCAGTAAAACATCAAAGTTTATCATAACAAAAACATAAAGGTTTTTATATATTTACTCATTTTGTAAACTTATCATGATATATTTCTCTACAATTGAATTAAAGCACAAGTGAATCTATAAATACCCAAACTGCAGAAAATATATATTATCCAGGAAATGAATTAGGGGGAAATGAACTAGTAATATTAGGAAATTAGTAAAACAATCAGCGTCAACATTCATTCTGAGGTGGACTAAAATAACAGATACTAGTACAAAGATGGGCGACATTAAAAAGGTGATTTTTTAGCTTTATAAACCTTCACACTGAAAACATCAGATTGAAGGTTTTATTCGTTCAATTGACAACACCAATCTAGGGAGGCAATCTCGTGACATGCCAGAATTCATAATTCAGAATTCACAATTCACGACAACCTGAACTGTATCGAACTAAAGACCTAAAGTTGAAGGCAAACAAGTCACAATATTCACATTAAATCAAGTCACAATTCCTCAAACTAAATGTGAGTTGAGGATTCAAAACAACCTGAAAATTCACAGAAAGTAAATTCCAAAAAATCTAGGGGACAATTTTTCGGAATTCACAACAGAAACCCTAAAATTCCAGAAATAGTGGCATAAAGCTGAACTAAATAAAATATAACAAAAATAAAACTGAAAAGTAAAATACATACCTGGAAAATACGATGACCAGAGACTCAGAGAGAAGGCAGGGGAAGGCCGGAGATAGCAGCCGCGCGGGGAGGGACTCGGGAGCGGACGAGGACGCAGCCGCACGGTACAGTAGGCTGTAGGGCACTGCGGTATGCGAAGAGAATTAAAGAATTGCAAAGACGACTCGGCCGATCCGAGCTTTCCGGCGAAGTGGCGAACGCCCACGGGCGTGAGTGGCAGCAACTAGGAAATTATACTTACTTGAAATAAAAATTAGGGAGTATAATAAAACTATGAGAAAATACTTTAAATAGGACTAAAAAAGTATGTATATTCCAAATTAAGATTATCATGTTTTTATCACTCAAATAGAAACAATTAATGTCATATTTTGACAGTATCATACTTTACACATGGTATTATTTTCCAAACATGGACAATAATTGCTCCTATTCATAAAATAAACACATGACAATCCTTTTTTGGAATTCTCAAAAAAATTACTTACAACTATTTAATAAAGGTTAATAAAATAAGGATGAAATTCATCTTCATATTATTTGAAATAAATATTTGGACAAAAGTAACAACACAAGTATCACAAAACACTTTGTGAAGTAAAATCATCAATAATTGCTTTATAATCAATCTTTCCCAAGATTACATGTGCAATGTTTAAAATTACTAATCAATTAAGTTTTTTGAGGCATAATAGATAATTGGGATGAAGTTTGATAATTGGGAGGCATTGGCATCCCAAAGACAATAATATAAATTGGTAATTTTGTAATTAAAAAGAATAAAAAGTCTTAAAGGTTAAAAATATGTGAAGATACGTGTTTTTATTGATTCCACAACGAATGTGTTGACCGACAACCAATCTATTTAAAAATCAAAACTAAATTTACATTGTTTTTTAAAACTTGTCTAGCTCCATTCAAGACTTTTTACTTATATTTTAAAAATTTTAAATTGTCAACAAAAATTACTCATTGGTCCTAATTAATTAATTGAAATTATAAATAAAAAAGAAGTCTACTCAGATTTCATATAAAGAAAATAACTTGAGCCTAATTTGCTTTCTACTTTTTTCGGTCCTAGGGCGATCGCCCCTGCTGCCCTGCCCTAGGACCAGCCCTGGCTTCGATAGTTCGGCTGGCGGTGAAGATGGACGAAGATGACCGTTGATTACTAATTTAGCTCTTCAGGACTTCAGGTCTTCAGTGCTTCGCTTGGGCCGTCTTTATTTATTTGGGATCTCTGGACTCGAGCCTTTTTCTAGTACCAAATTTTTAGTGTCAGGCTTATTTTATTACTCTTTTTTTCTAAATTAGCTTTCAATTTTTCTTTTTGTTTGTGTTAAAATAATTTTTTTATATGAATTATTTTTCAATTTTTTTATGTTCTTGCCAAAATAATCTTATATTTCCCCTTTGACAAGGAAAATATATCTTATATATTTATACCCATTTCTCTCAATTCATGTGCAAAACTAAAACTCTATTTGGAGGATAATTCAGGAGTGAAAACAGTATAAAATTGATTTCTTTTCAATGTGGGCCTCAGCCTTGACTGCTCCAAGCCTGATCCGCCCCTGAAAAGCTAAGTGATACCAATCATTTAATTTTGTTAATATAGGGCATCCAAAAATAAGATTTCATGTGTTTTTTTTAAATGAAATAATTGGAAATACCAAATTTATTGTTACATGGAGCTTTTAGGACGTATAAAGCATTTCTGATGGTCTAGACGATTAGGTATATGTCAAAAAATAACATATTTTCTATTAAGATACTGTATCTATCCATTCATTTCGGAAAAATAGAAATAAGATTTTATCATTTCACACTTTACTACTCAAATCTCAAAGAGATGTTTTCTTTTAACTTCATTAATTAGAATGTAAATCGAAGCAAAATGTCTAATCGAGGATGTAACTAAATAATAGAATATTATTAGGAAGATTTGTTTCCTAGTTTGTTGTAAATTCTTTTAATATAAATATACAGGCCAGGACTCCTGTTGGAGTACCTTTTCCCATTATCTCACATGGTATCAAGAGCCTAGGGTTAATTTTTTTTTTCTTCTTCGGCGGCCGTCCCTCTCTTTCCTTCTTCCGCCACAGCCGAGTATGGCCACCACCACGACGGCAGAATCCTCTGTTCCGACCACAACTTCTACGCTGGAGCCCATCTTCGTTCCCCAGGTATCGTCCATCCCCTTGTCTGTTGCGTCTCACACAACGCTGATGAGCCATCCAATTTCAGGCGTTGTTCCTCCTCCAACGCCGCAGCCGCAGAATTCCTTCTCAGCACCGGACGTCTCTTCTTCGTTCTGGTCACCGCCTCAGACGCATCCCGTCTGCAACCGCCTCCCGCCGCATCTGCCATGGGCCTCGGCGGGTTCTCCGATCTTCTCTCAGCCAGCAATGCCACCGCCGCAATCTACTCAATTTTTTGGACCCTCTTTTGCTGGCTCGCCGGGAGTCATACAGCCAGTCAACGACAATCTTCTCTCAGGGTCTCATATGGCATTCTTGGCACAGTCCCTATCTCATGGAGTTAATGTCAGTCAAATTGTCACCATAAAGCTAAAAGCTGTTGAAGATTAGCTCACCTGGCGCACTCAATTCGAATACGTTTTGGTGTCTCAGGGACTTTTTGGCATCGTTGATGGATCCATTCAGGTACCTCCCATGTACACAGTGAATTTTAATAATCAGCAAATCATTAATACCGACTATTATCATTGGCTTAGGGTAGATCAAACAATTCGTTCTTGGTTGTTTGCTACTCTTACTCGGAACGTATTAACTGATGTGCATGATATTAAACATTCAGCTGGTATATGGAATCGTTTGCAAACACGTTTTATGTCTGCTAGTTTACCTAGAGCCATGGCACTTAAGCGTACCTTGAATTCCATTAAAAAGAAGGACACTCAGTCTATGGAACAATACTTACTTGATATTAAGAATTTAGCTAATGCCTTAGCTGCAATAAATTCCCCTGTCACTAATAAAGAATTACTGCAAAGTACCCTCTATGGATTGGGCCCTGAGTATGAGTTTGTTGTGGGCACTATATCCATGTTCCCGGATGAATTTCCACCTGACATTCTTCACCATAGACTACTTGAAGCGGAACAACGTGTCCTTCGTCAGCGCCATCAGGAATCCTCTAACTTGCAGCAAGCTTTTGGGGCGCAAGCTGGTCCCGGACAGCAGGGCCCACCGGGCCAACCACACGCATACCGCGGTAGAGGAGGCCACGGTAGAGGCGCACGGGGCAGAGGGGGCCGCGGCAGGGGCCGTCACCCGCACAAGCATGTATACCAGCCAGTTCCTAGGCTGGGCAGCTTCCCTATCCCGCACCAGGGGCAGCAGCCGCACCAGGACCATCAACCACAGGGGGTGTGTACCATCCGAGACCAAACAATGCTCCGTCGGGTAAATCTGTCATGTCCATTTTAAATATTAATGCTAAATCTACTTCTGGTACTCACTATCATTATGCAGGTTTCCCGTCAGCCGAGGGTATTCTTGGTTCAGTCCCTCCTCCTGTTGTGTGTCAAATTTGTTTCTCTGCAGGTCACTCTGCAATGCATTGTTCGTCTCGTTTTTCACAGGCTTCTGCACCTGCTTTGGTTTCTCCAACTGGGGAATCAAACGATGTTTTGTGGTATCCGGACTCTGGTGTCTCTGCTCACATGACTTCATCTGAAGGTATTCTGTCCAATAAATCCTCTTATTCTGGCTCCATGACTGTCAGTGTTGTGAATGGTACCAAACTTCCTATTGCTAATGTTGGAAATATTACTTTAAATACTCTTAGTCGCCCGCTGACATTAAAATCTGTTTTTCATGTGCCTCGAATTAAATTTAATTTAATTTCCATTCAAAAATTATGTGCTGATAACAACAGTGTTGCTGTTTTTGATAAAAATTATTTTTTTGTAAAGGACAAAACTTCGGGGGCGGTTCTTCTTCAGGCGCGTCGTAATGGTCATCTTTATCCTATCAGTCTCAATCCGACTGCATCCTTAGCTTTAGCTTCTATCACTATCTCTGGTCCTGTGTGGCATCGTAGACTAGGTCATTGTGGTGAAACTATTTTGCGTTTGTTACATCGTAGAAAGCTTATCTCTAGTTCTTCTAATTTCGAACATGATTGTGTTTCTTGTCGTTGGGGTAAATCTCACCGATTACCTTTTTCAGATGCTGGCCATACTTCTTCTGCACCATTACAATTAATTCATTCTAATGTTTGGCAATCCCCTGTATTGTCTAAGTTAGGTTTTAAATATTATGTGTGCTTTATTGATGATTTTTCTCGATTTACTTGGATATATCCCTTGCGAACTAAAAGTGAAGTCTTTCATCAATTTTGTTTATTTAAAGCTTTAGTTGAAAATATGTTTCACTCTAAAATTAAAATTTTTCAAAGTGATGGAGGGGGTGAATTTGTTAATTCTAATATGCAGCATTTTTTATGAACATGGCATTTATTTTCAAAAATCTTGCCCTCATACTCCTCAACAAAACGGTGTTGCTGAACGCAAGCATCGTCACCTTTTGGAATTTGCTAGAACTATGCTTATTACAGCCTCTATCCCTAGCACATTTTGGGTTGATGTTATTTTTACAGCTGCATATATTATTAATAGACTCCCTACTCCGTCACTTAATGGTGTTTCTCCTTACGATATTCTTTTTCAAAAACCTCCTGACTATAGTTTTTTAAGAGTTTTTGGGTGTGCGTGTTATACAAATTTTTCTGCCTCTCCTTCAAATAAACTTTCTCCACGTTCTGTCCAATGTGTTTTTATTGGTTATGCATCCAGTTTTAAAGGATATCGTTGTTTGGAGCCCAAGTCTGGCAGAGTTTTTATTAGCAAACATGTTCGTTTTCATGAATATATTTTTCCTAGTACCACTTTGACTTCTTCTACGGGTCATACTTCCTCTCCTACTACTCCTCTTGTCCATGACCTAACTCTCACAAATACCACATCCCCACATCATATTTCCCTTCCCGCCGATCCCATAAATCGGGTCGTGCCTGTCTCCTCACATCCAGCTGAAACATACCAGCCCACACAAGACTCTCTCACTTTCAGGCCTTCAAATCACTCTCCCGCTTCCCTGCCACTTGACCATCCTCCAACATCACCCACCTCCTACCATTCCCCAACAACCTCATCCACTGCACCAGACCAAACTCCCAATTCCACATCCGTAAACCCTACTCTTCCCATGACCGACGTTATTATTTCAGCCCCCACCGACCACTCGT